GGCACTTTACTCCAGTTGGCTCATTCGTTTGCTTAAACTCAACGTTGATTCTGATTCTGCAGAACTGGGTTGTGTGTGAAAAAGTATTTGTTGTTAACATTCTTTTTCATTCGGTTTTTCCAGTTACGAGTCATTTTTTAAAGCTGATCATTTTGTGTTCATTTTGTTTAGTTCTTTTTTCGTAACAGATTTAATGTTTAGTATAGAGCTTAGAAAAATTCGCAGTGTGAGATAGGAAAGAAGTAAGGCATGTAGCAACATCAGCACGGCAAAGAGCAATCCTTTAAAGGCAAGGAAGGGCAAAAATATTTTAAGTCAAGTGATAGCGATTGCTGTATGAGTCGTACGATTTTTGAATCAAGCACGGGCAACGCCAGGCCATGCTCCTAGTATATATATTTAATCGTATATATTTAATAGTATATATTTATTTAATGAAACGTATATATATATATATATATATATATATATATATATATATATATATATATATAAAAAATAGATAATAAAATTACAAAAAAATAATGGAAGTATATATAATAAAAAAAGAAAAAAAATCTAATCTTGATAATATTAGTTATGAACACGGCCACAATGTGCTGACTGTGCTCAGCAGTTAATATATTGTTAAAAGAAAACTATGCATATTCAGATAGGATAACAAAAATGCTTTATAACCGCTAATAGATTTTCCGGAAGCGTTTGGATCCACAGACCATTTGAACAGATCTTTCACACTCTATGTCCCAAAAAAGAATCACGTGTAAAATAAATCGCAGTGCCTTGCCGGTTGTCTTCAATGGAAACTGTATAAAAAAGGAATTGCTGCACAAATACACAATTACATCTTATATATAAAGTACAGAGTACGTATGTTTGTGCGTGCGTGTGTGTGTGTCCAAGCAACTTCTCCGCTTCCACTGGTTTGATTTCAATGATTCTTAGCTCATTCAAAAGTCCTAGTAGCGCAGGGAACGATTTTCCTTGAGCTCAGATTCATGGTTGCCAGATCATGCGAGGTTAAAAATATATATTAATATATTATACTAGCCATTATCGTAGCATTCATGGTTCAAGGGGAGTATTATTTTCCTTTTGTATCCAAAATTGCAGCTAGCATAAAAATTTTAATATAGATTAAAAGACGCTCTATCGGACGGCATTTAAGCTAGTTCCTGTGGAGTAGTCTTTGTTTCACCATCATCGCAATAGCTAGGGGGTAGTAGACGCGATAGGCATCAATAAACTACAAAGGAACTCAAAGTTGATCGCTTCATTTAAGTATTGAAATAATGTTTAAGCTTCCCTTTTAAAAGTTCAACGATAATTCTTCTGCTGTTACTTAATTTAAAGACAATTTGATGTACGTAGATCCTTATTTTCCGTGCAAACAATTATGTTTATGTTATGCCATAGTACCTATTCTATTGTAATGGACTCTCCCATAGATAATAAGTAGGAGTAGCAGTGGCAAGTCTGGTAGAATGGTGTTGAACGCGTCAGTCGAGATTCGGACATTTGAAGTACCAACCATCACAACTAGATTACTGCGCCATTGAATCTTATTTTCCAAGTTCCTAACGTTTTGTACGTCGGACCTAATTTAGGACGACTTATTGGAAATACAAGCCTCCACTGTGAAAATACTCCACAGCAGTTTATTTCATGGGTGACAGAACAGGGGACAATTTATAAAATAAAATTAATATAGAAAAATAGAAATTGGAGTTAGTTATACATCGGACATTTGAAGAGTTAGAGAAACAGAGTTAGCTAATTAAATAAAACCTACAATATGCATTCTATACGAATAAATGCAAAATCGGAGTTTAATCTTCCCTCGAATTCTGAGATCAAAATTCCCCAGCTCTACTTTATAGTACCTTGTACGCTCAAAGCTCATTATCTATATTTTATATTATCTAATTCTAGGCAATGTCACTCTCCAGGTTTAACTAATTTGCATATTAAATGTTTATTTCATTAATTAACTGTCTTTCATTACTGTTCTTTTATTCGAGGATTGTTTTCATTTTTATATCGAAAATAGTTTTTTTTTTTAGAAATATCGTCTTATATAATGCGGAAAAGTGTTTGAAATTTGCATTTTACTTGGCATTCAATAAGCTTGCATCTATTTGTAAAACTTCCCTTAACAATAACAAGCCGATTTATGAATGAGATATTCATTTAAAATTTTTGTCTCAAAGATTTCAAGTAGTGAATATATATTTGCGAAGCAATAGCGAGCGGATGAAGCCTGCTGGTACATATATATATATATATATATATATATATATATATATATATATATATATATATATATATATATATATGAGGGAGAAATAACTACGACATTATACCATGTAGGCACATAAACTTATGCGAGCGTAGGAACGCGCCCACACGCACGTATACAGTGTACACACATTTGAAAATACACAAAGTGCATCTATAAAAGGAAATCGAGAAAATGCTCAACTGCTGATATCCACTGACGAGTGGGGGGATTGATTGCAACAGGGTCCAACTACGAAGCACTAGAGTTGGGATTCTCAAGGTAACACAAATCAGCTAAGTGACAAATTTTATATTTGTAATTTATTCTCTTTCTGTGTTTCTCTCTCTCTCGCACATTCTCTCCATTTCTCTCTCTCTCTCTCTCGATATATATTATTCACCGTAATGTTGTGGATCAATAAACATATATAAAAAAATAAATGGGAGGGCTAACTTATTATTTTCCCTCTATTTTTAATGCACAACCGATGACAAAACATGTGAATATATGCACAGGGACTGAAAAAAGGAGAAAGATGAAGAACACTTCTCGAGAACCTGTATTATAAATCCCAGGATGATTATATTTAGATCCATCATTCTTTTCCTCTGATAAAAGAAAATTTTAGGCCTAGTAATCCTGTCCTTGGTTGTAAATGTCTAACCTGGTGGCACTAAAGAATGAAACTCCTCTGAACATTTCCCTGGAAGTAATCATAGAGTAAAAATAGTTTTGCAACTTTCCGACTATTGGGAAACAGGTTGTACGGTGGAAAATAAGTCATCTCCCAAAAGGACGCGGAAACGATTTTGATCTCTATCTAGACTGGAACGTAACGATTTGAAAACTTCAGCTCAGATATGGTAGAACTATTCAAATTTTGCCCTGATCTGACTCGTGTAGGAAGAAAATAAGTAACTACCGACACCAAGGTTCGAACGTGACACTCTCGACTTATGTATATGTTTTCCGCCAGGTGTATAAATATCGGTGTTAGTTGACTATTGAGTGGAACTATCCAATGGAATTAGTGTAAATTACCGTGCGTTGATTTGGGTTTTGATTTATGATTTACCGGACGTTAAACCGAGCCGCGCTACTTACAAGGTATTCACTGAAATGGTTAATTATCTTTTGTTGAATATTTTACATCTTTGTTCTTGTTAAATAAGTATTTTCCGGTTGTAATTAAATACTGTTTTACTTAACATTGAAGTCTTAAGTTATACTTAATAATTAATGGCCACATTACGTCACATAAGAAGGATCTAAGAACATTCCGGACTGATAAATCGAAAAAGACAATTTTCCAAGCAGGTTTTGCGATTGAATGTATACGAGGTATAATATCGGGACTATCATTGTGCTAATCGACCTAGAGTACCGAAAGTGAAGTCATTTGGTACAGATTGGCCTTCAGCTCTATTACGCATACCAACTTTAAACAATCACCTTCGTTATTTATAGCAATGCATGGAAGAATAGTATGTTCGTCTTACAAAACCACAGAGGTCCCATCATTAACCATAAATTTTCCAGATTTTTTTTGTCAAGAAAATTTCCGGAAGCACTATATTTCTAAGATTTTATCACTTGTGACTTTCTCCGATTCAAAAATCAAATCCTACTTGAAAAGAAAAACATTTCCAGACATCGAAGAAATACAAATGAATACAATGAGGCGGCTCCTTGCTGTTCCCAAAAAAGGAGTTCTAGGAATGTTTTCATCCATGGAAATGAGGCTAAATAATGTGTGTGGCTTCAGAAGGGGAATACTTCAAAGGATAGTAATTTTTTTTAAGCTTTTCCCCCCAAGCAAGGCGGGAAGCCACTAGGACGCAAGGGGTTACAGAAGATTTGGAGCAAGATCAGATAGGAGTGATAGAAGAAAGGATGAGGATAGTGTATAGATCAAGGCAACTGGAAATGTCGATTGACATTACATTTGAATAGTTGGAGATTATAGCTCTCAGGGAAACTGGAATAGGGAAGGGAGTTCCACAGGCGAGAGGTGCGAGGCATGAAGCTATTTGAGTAGAAGAAACGGCTACATTTAGTAGGGCGCTTGAACTCATGAAGTCTGGGAACCAGCGAATGCAGCTCCTCGGAGCAATTACCATGAAAGTATTTGTAAAAAAAAGACAGAGAGAGGCGACAGAGCGTCTGTGAGAGAGCGACTGTAGACGAGATGACAGAACAGGGCCAATTATATTGCATACCCGCCTTTGGATCTTATCAAGAACCCCGAGGCAAACAGAAGGGACTCCAGACATATGGCAGCAATACTCCATGTAAGGGCGAATTGGTGATTTGTAGATCTGGAGGATCGATTCCGGGGAGAAAAATATCCTGGCGCGGCACAGGGAGCCAACTTTTCTTGCGGTGGATGAAGCAATTGATGCTGAATTGATATATTTTGTAGTTTTTTTTCATACCACAAGTTCCAATACTTTTTGTCCAGACCTTGTTTATGATTTCCACGAAGACTGGAATGAAATGGAGTCCCATTAAATGTAGAATGCAAAGGATATTACTGAATTACAAACGTTTTTCGTGATTGAAGTAAATTAATTATCTGTTAGGTGGTGATGAAAACTTTCTCTCCCATTGTTAAAGCAAGGTAAATGAAGAGATTCATTGACGGGCTCTAAATATCTTCAGTTGTTATATTCAGTAAGTTAGCATAGTGAACTAGTTGCCTATGTGTTAATTGCAAATCTCACTGTGTTCGCTGATCTTGTGCCAGACTTCTATAAATATAGCTAATTTGATTTTTGGATAGCGCCAATGCCCAGACAAAAAAGGTACGCCACCTCAGGATCCTTATCATATATAGAAAGTTTTCCTTACAATTAGTTGGGTTTGAGAATGTGTTATCCACTGATTGCCTTGACATGATTAAATTTAGTATCATCTGGAAGAGGCAGCTGAAATTTCTGGGACACTTTATGAGATAGGAGAGCTTGGAGAATCTGATACTCACAGGTCAAATAGAGGGAAAGAGAGACAAGGTAAAACAACGCATGACATAACGGGCGTAAGCAAGTGGATGACAGAACATAGCCTGGAGGAAGTAGCAAAGGGACACAACTCATTGTGAGATCCAAGGGATAGGGATGAAGTGGAGAGCCATGATCGCCTACGTCCTGAAGGGACACGGCACATAAAAATAAAGAACAACACAACGTTTCAGTAAATTGAACAAAACGCATTTCGTTCCAGACGTGATATCTATCTGTTAAGGTAGGGATCAAAGTGAGAAAGTGGTTAACGAGCTAATGAGGATGACCTTTAAAAAACACGAAACACTAATTCTTGGGCAGTGGCTTTAGATATGTCGAAGGCATTTGACATAGTTTGGCATCACTACGGCATCTCAAGCCGAATGTGTGATTTAACCCAATCGTTCTTAACAAATTATGTAATGAAATTCGTGGTGAACGGCTATGCTTGTAGATCCTTTCACATTAGTGTGAGGTTTCTCAAAGGGATCTATCTTTTTACCTACGTTATTTCATCATCATCATCGTCATCAACATCCTTCCCGGTACCATCAGTTTCCAACGAGATCTTTATGCTGACAACTAAACTATTCCGTCTTTTTTTAATAGTAATTCTCACAGTTCCAACAAAGTAAAACTGGCAGCGTCTCTTGAAAACGACTTCCAATCAGTTGTTAACTAAGGCAAGAAATGACTTAAAATTTTGACACCTTTAAAACGAAACTGCTATATCAAAATAGAAAATAGGCTTTGACTTCCATCAGCATGGATGATTCTAACCGCCAAGAGACCAACTCCTTCCCGCTTCTTGGTCTTACGTTTGTCCATGACACGAAGTGTATTGATTACATTGAAACAATTGCTAGGTATGCTGCCAGGAAGGTTAGTTCACACTGTCGTACCAGACAATTCTTCTCGCCAGAATCCATATTAAGCATTTATAAATTTAGTATTCATCCGGGCATTTCTGGCATATCTGAACTAGTATACCAACTGAATATCTCAAGATTTCCGTTAAAATACAAAGAAGTATCTGCAATGCTATCGATGTTGACTTGACATCTCGACTTCAGTGACATTCCCACTGCAATGACGTGGGTTTCCTTTGTCATTTCGATAAAGATGTTTATAATAATTATTCTGAGATCCCCTCTTTGGCACTTGACCGCATGAATTTGTCAAATAGTTCTCAGCGTTTTATTGTTGAAATTGCTATATGCACTCTCATTCTCTTCCTTTTTCAAGGCTTGCGACCATATCTACGTTGGAACACCGGTAGCCATTCGTTCACCGAAGTGAAGCAAAGTTGAGCCAGCTTAGAACCTTGAGGGATAATCGCTGTAAACTTGCGTGTGCGGGTGGTGTATTGGATAACAGTTCGGAATTGTTAACTGGAGAACCGAGTTCCAATTTCAGTTGGATTCGTTACATTAACTTACGCGCAAATACCCTTGGGAAAATTAAGAATCTGTCTCTCCCTAACTGCTATAGGTTAATTAGTAAGCCTTCTGTCACTAATTTTCTCTTGTCACTTCCCACCATCCAAAAAATGTCATACAATCTAAAAATATATTCTAGCTTTCAATGACCCGCAAGAATTTTGATGAATCGTAAAAACGAATCAGTCAATCACTCTTTCACTGTAAGTAAACCTGGCGTCTTTGTAGCATTATCAATTTGCTTAGGGTGAAATCATTAAAAAAATACCTCGATGTATGATTCAGTTATAACAGATTTAGTATTAGAGAAGACGTTGGAGAAACGATAGGTTATGCTAAGAGTAATTTTTCCCAGCACTGTATAAATAAATAAAAAACAAAAAACAAACAAACAAATTATTGACCTGAAAACACTCATGTTCTTAAATAGCTGCGTCAAATCTAGACTTTCATATGGATGTCATGCATAGAATCCGGCTCGCTCAGAAATGCTTAATCTATCATCTGCATGTAACCGATTTCTCAGATCAATGATTAAAAATGGCTTCAACGAATAAATCCTAAGTCTTAAAGAAGACTGGCACTACAGAATCATAAAGAGCTTTACAAAGGATAAAATACAGATGACTAGGAGACTTCAATAGCAGCAAGAATAAAAATGGTAGCACATAACTAGAATGAAAATAATGATGCAATCTAGTTGTTAACTTTCTACACTACAAAAGCAAAAAACAAAAAAAACAAAAAAAAAAACAAAAAAAAGAAAAAGGTTGAAAGATAATTTGTCTTCAACGTTTATCAGTAATAAAAAGAGCTATAATAGTGGACGCGAAAAGTCGAATTTCCTGAATAAAACCGTCTAAGAGCAAGAATTCATAAAGTTCAACTTATAGTAACGGTAAATATCTGGACAATGGATGGTGAATGTCTTTTGTAGGAAACGGTTAATTACCATTCTTCTTTTATGAGCAGGACAGGCGCTCTCAAAACCCAAACTTCGTCGTGTTTGCTTGGTGTCATCGTGCTTACGAATACTCGCTACCGACCCCATCGCGTCGGCAGCCGACACGAGCCGGCCATCGAGTCGACGGATAGCATCGCAGTCCGGGTGTGCGCCGGTCCAACCGACCAACCGACCGTCCGCTTCGCGGGCGCCGCACCTTCGTCACCATCGTCGCCGGCGGCGCGTTGTCCACAACTATTTATCTTTCGTATTTCTAAGTAATGTTTATATCCATGACATAACAATCTTAATGTCCTCCAAGCCCTATCTCATCAACCATTAGCATTACTATTGTGTAATGAGTACTCACTTAATGTCCATACTTATGATCAAGTTCCAAAACAAACTGCCTTTGTCATTCTGGGTGAATATATTTAAGTTACATTTTCCGTACGACAGTTGTATACTGACATACAATGTCCTTGTTATGTTAAAGTATTGTTACTGTGTACTTCAACCATTTCTTTTCTTGTTAAGTCCTAAGTGAAACATTTAATTAATTAAATGTAACAGGTTTTTCAAACAAGTCAGTAGACGTAAGTGATTGGTGCCATAAGATGGGTGCATAAGCGATTCTCTTGAGTTTTCTTGGCAAGAAAAAATACTGTTAATGAACGCCAAACATAGCTTTAAACAGGCCATATCTTTTAAGGATAAATTGACATTCGTCGGCCTGAAGATGAAAGCAACACTTCTTATGAGATTAAAATCTCATGGTAACAGGTTCTCATTATCAAGACGTCATATCGGGTTTTTATTATTATTATTATTGCATAAAAATAACATAATTTTCAACCTTGGAAGTCTGATAATATTTTTCCTCTGTGTGACGATTTCACTGAGACGGGAAAAATGGGAGTTGCGTGAGAAGAATCTTTTTATAATATTACACCTTTCTGTCTTAAAAAAGCTGCGTTTACGCAGTTTGTGCCGGTCTCTAAAGACGACAAACATCAAATTAGAAATTCAGTAAATTATCAGTGACTAATTCACTTTCTGTATCGAATCTCGTGCAAAATCGATAAGTCTGTTCATCGCTACGAACACGAACATTGTGGGGTTTGATTTTTGGCTAAAACTATTACGCATTCAAAATCGTCCAACGAGATCTGTAAAAAAAAAAAAATCCACGTATGAAAGTGACGAGTTTGAATAATTAATTTTTTAGGCAGCCAGCCAGGAGGTCATAATCACCACACTTCTAATCACCGTTATTCAAACTGAAGACATTTTTTCGTACTGAAAAAAATTTTACTAAATATGAACACTGACAATGTCTGGGGCAAAGACCAATGAAAATTCAAGTGAGAATGTAAAGAATAATTTCACTAATCACACACACACACACACACACACACACACACACACACACACACACACACACACACATATATATATATATATATATATATATATATATATATATATATATATATATATATATTGCTCCTATAATGATTAGTTGAGCTCTCTCGGGAATAATCCATCTGAAAATTCTAACTACCTGTACAACCGACGACCATGGATAAGTTCTGTCCGGAATAATTTCTGAAAAAAAATAACTCAATCTCAAATTCTCGCAGTTAACTACAACATGTCCCTTCCTCTAACCTTACAGATATGAAATTCGTTTCATTTCACACCGAGGTTGAGGTCTTCGGAAATAGCTTATTCCCCATATGAGGTAAAAAATTTGTTTGATTATTAATTTTACATATATATATATATATATATATATATATATATATATATATATATATACTCAGGAAATCCTTTTTTTGTTGTTTTTTTTAATAAAAAACAGCGGCTCCTAACATTACTCTTAATGCAGTATTCTTCAGTTATGAATTGAGTTCTCCGCGCCAAGTTAAAATTTCCCTTTCCTCTCTGCCGTGCGACACTTGAAGCAATCGGACGTCTAGCCACACTGAAGAGCTGTGATAGAACGAATGCCTGTAGATGATACTATATATATATATATATATATATATATATATATATATATATATATATATATATAATAATAATAATAATAATTGGTAACTTGGTTTTCCTCCCTCGCAGCAATTCACTTTGTCTTTCACTGGCGTATAAATAAACGAGAACAGACAGACTGGCGTGAGAAACTGCCAGTTACATGCAGTGTTGACTAATTGTCCACACACGCTATTTCTTTGTCTCTATGTATTTTTCCATTATATTTTTAATATGATCTGTTTTTTTTTTTATTCCCATATTTGTCTAGCAGTATTGTGCTTTTCGCGTATTTACTATTCGTGAATAATCTTTCGTGTGAGTAGTTTCTTTGATTCCAGGGTCATTCAGTTACCCCTCCTAATATTTTTACCGATATCTGCTGATTTTACAGCGACTTGGTATTTCACCAATAAACTCTGTTATTTATATTTACATACGCTTTATCCCTGGTATTGAGCCACTTAACCCATAAATATATCTACCTTAAAAATATATTTTATTCGACGCATTTCGTCATTTGACTTTATCAAGGCAAGTGATGATGAACAAAAACGGAATGTTGCGTAGAAGCATGAAACTCAGATTTCTTTTTTTAAAAAGACTCTCCTGTTTGAGCCTTTTGTATATTGGCAATTTTTTCTTTTACTAATTCTGATTTATTTTGAAAAATACAGGGTGTATCAAAAATACTTTTACAAATTTTGGGGCGGGTTGCTCACATGAAAACAAGTAGAAAAGCGCATATAGACATACATCCGCATATCCTTGGTGTTTGAGTTAAGTTTAAAGTTTACGGTAGCTGGCGCTGTGTTGTCATATGGACTAGGTTACATTTGTTAATAGTACATTTTTAGCTAGCCTGTTTTCAACCTTTGACGTGCTTTTGTGACACGATGAACACATGATACTACTTTTGAGATGCCAATGAATACTCGTTTTCACTTTCGTAATGCTCGTTGAAGTAGAGACTTTGTAATGGCAGATACAACTATATTACGCCGTTGAACAATGCTGATGTCAGACGTCTTCGAATATCACTCGCATTAATAGTACTTGCTCGATAATATTGCTCGAATAGTAATCCGTATAGTGATCTGAATAGAGAAATAGTATAGTGAATAGAGTAGAGAAATGCTGTCCGTATAGTAATAGTAGATAAATATTTTTATGCTCTACTTTTGTATCGAGCACTATTTTTTTAAAATAATAACAAAAAATACTAAAGAACTTTGGATTATTTACCTAACGAGTTCTTTCCTATTTTCTTTATATTTTTACACACACACACACACACACATATATATATATATATATATATATAATATATATATATATATATATATATATATATATATATATATATATATATCAGGCATATAGCATATGTAGAGAGAGAGAGAGAGAGAGAGAGAATGTGTGATACACACATATACATATAGATATAGTCAGACACGTACTCACAAAGATACACACACATTTGAACAAATTATATATATATATATATATATATATATATATATATATATATATATATATATATAAATAAATATACATATACCTACGTTCGAAATGCAACTTAAGGTTTCCTTTTTCCACTAACTCATCAGGTTCAAATTATTACTTGTCATTTTAAAAAATATACTGGGTCTTATGGGAGGAATGGTACATTTGCTCTTCTTCTTAGCTCTGTCTAAAGACATTGGGCACTGCTTTGGTTACTCTTTATGTTACATTGGGTAAATATTTATTCACTTACCAGTGAATGTACTCTAACGCACGTATATACAGTTGCTAATATCTAATTATTTGATTTATCCACATTAATATTTATATATATATTATATATATATATATATATATATATATATATATATATATATATATATATATATATATATATTCATGAATTATTCACACAAAAACAAATGCAAAGGTTAATGATTTATTTGGCGAGAAATCCATCGTCGCAAACAATTCAAATAATATACAAAAACCTCCGAATCCGTTATGAATGAAAAGATCCTTGTTTCTATAAATTTCTGCCGTATTAGTTCTTATTTTTACTACAAGCTTTAGTCTGTTCCTACAGACATCTTCAGGTATGGAATAGATGTTGTTCTTGTTTTTCTCTTAGTAATAAGGGACAACGAAAATATATGTATTGTTGTATCCAAAATTGCTATTGAAATGAGTTATTGTTTTTGGGCGTGCAGTAGCAACGCTGAGTTTGATTTTAAATTTTTTACAGTTGTGCGTTCATGTACAAATATGGTGATATACGAATTTTTTTTACTGGTAAATTTTCTGTCAAAGTGGCTTGAACTATATTGTTCAATAATTACAGTAATGTCGCACTTATTATCCAAAAAGTCGCACTTGGATCAGTTATTTTAATTACGATAAACGTGCAATCAATTTACAAATTCATGAATTATTCACACAAAAACAAATGCAAAGGTTAATGATTTAATTGGCGAGAAATCCATCGTCGCAAACAATTCAAATAATATACAAAACCTCCGAATCCGTTATATATATATATGCATATAAAATATAGTTTTGTCTAAGTATAATTGTTGTGGTTCTTATATATATATATATATATATATATATATATATATATATATATATATATATGTATGTATGTATGTATTTTGTAAAACATCTTTTGCTCTTGGTAACCCGTACGTGATATCGGTGTGTAACTCGAACGCTATCCTGCTACATTTATGTGCTAACCAAGATGGAAAGGAAATCACGTATATAAAATTGTGATATTAGAAGAGAAAAAAATTTTGATATTAGAAGAGGAAAATTCCACTTATAAATCTCGGAAAACGACAAGAAAATGCCTTGATAAACATCTGATCCCCCCCCCACCAAAAAAAAACCGGCTTAAAATCTTATAATCGTGCTTCCAAGTTTTTCTTTCCTATTCGAGATTATGAAGTAAGTAATTTCCCCTGATGATGATAACATTTCGAAAAAAAATATCAACAAATAGCAAAAGAACAAAATCACCAAAAACACTTGGAGCAACTGAATCTTATTTTTTTGTGCTTTCGCACTATTTTCTTTACACTTGATGCTAAACTGTCCAAATATTCATCTTCTATGTGTCGTGTCCCTTCAGGACGTGGGCTATCATGGCTCCTGACGATTTCCTATTCTTTGTAGCTCTTAGTTAATTTTATCTTTTTTCTGTCTCTCTTAATCTTTCTTCTGCTATTCGTTTACACAAGCTAGTTAGGTGTGATATACTTTTCTTTCCTCTCTCCCTGTTGCATTCAATATACTCTGCGAAGGACCCTGAATATATTTTCCAAATATTAAAAAAAGATATAATTTTGTTTAAATCAATTATAATGGTTCCCTGTGGCGTGGCAGCAAATGTTCTGCGTGATATCGACCGATGTATGTGCACTTATGTTTTAGAAAATATGCGAACGCATTTGATATGTTACGGTACAAGTATCTATTTAAACTGCTGGAAAAAATATTTTGGAAATATGTTAGAATAATCCCCAGCTGATATTAGGAGAAAACTGCCTGCGTACAGATAAAAAATAAATTGATTAGTTATACAAAAATTGGAAGGGGTTTTAGACATGATGCGTCTCCTCCACAGTTTTATTCGAACGACGCGATCCCAAGGGAAATGGAGACCCTACCAGGGTTTATTATCGATGGGCGTAGTCTTAAAAATATACAGTACGTAGATGAAAGTGTGCTGACTTCCGACTCGACAAGGAAACTACAGGTCATTTTAGACCGAAAACGAGAAAAAAAATGAGTAACCATCAACTACAAGAAGACAAAAGTAGGGACATCCGCAAGAGTAAAATCCCAAGATGCGAGTTACGAATTGGAGATGAGAAGCAAGTGTAGAATTTCAGATATCTAGAAAATGTGACACAGAGATCCGAACAGGCATTGGACTAGCGGTAGAAGCAATTCAAAAGCTAAGTAATGTTCTGAGGAACGGAAAAAATAATTAGAAACAAAAAATAGAGCTTTATGTTACCCATCTTCTTATATGGCCTTGAGTACTAGACAATTTCCCCACGCTTAAGTAGAAAATTGGCGGCAACTGAAATGGGGTCATACAGAAGGGTACTGAGCATAAAACAAATAAATAAACAACGATGAAGACTTAAAGAAAATGACAACAAAAATGACTCTTCTATTCAGAAAAAAGATAGCTGAAGTTCCTTGCACAGAGAATGAGGAAAGAGGGCTCAGCAAACTTAACCCTCACAGGACATATTGAGGGAAACAGACATAAAGGAAGACGTGAGACGAGTTTGTGTGAATGGATGCCGGAACGCAGGTGGGGAGTCATAGCAATGTGAGAAAAAACTGCTAAGGGTCACTGTAGATAGGAAGTTGTGGAGATCCATAATCACCAATGTCCCGAAGTGACGCGGCGAATAGAAGAAGAAGAAAAAAGAAAAGGATCAATCGCTCGTCCAACCAACGATAATATTACTTACCTACTGCTACTGGCTTGTCTTTTACACTAGGCATTTACTCTGTCTCCCCACTAAGATGAGTTGTGAAACAAGGTCAGTTTTTAAGGTGGGGCTGTCTTTTACAATCGAATGGAGAGTAGTTGTAAGTATACACTCGGCTAATTTCGTTTACTTGTGATTGGCATAGAATTATCATTTTTCCAATGCTAGATTCTGGTTTGGGGATTTTCCGTTCCTCTGTTTGTTCTGACTATTTTCTTGTAATGCTTGGCTGTTATAATTATTATTTCCATATACTCTTTCGTGCAAATGTCCAAATCATATTGCAAACGAATCGATGCGATCTTATCCATGAATTAACCATCCTTTTTCGTCTTTACGCACATAGATTCAGTTGCCGTAATTCATCGGGTGTAAAGCTTTCTCATGCTATTGAAGCATTCTTTGATTGATTCTTCCTTCATTTTCTTGACTGAAGGAACTTCCAGTAGTGCAGCTATATGCAGATAATTCCATATATTCGACAGGACCATAGATTTCTGGACCTATAAAGAAACCCGCTAACGTTCAAATCCAGCAATAGAAGCTCTTGATATTCTCGTCTACATTTGGACAAACAGTTGATATAGTTTAAGAGGGCATTTGTATAGTTCATGATAATGGTTAAGTATCTTGTATTTCATCTTTTTTCCAATAGGGCAGGATTTTCTGTTCTGGAAATAGACATTTGATTTTTATGTTAACATTTTCTACAGGGGCAGTAGAAACATGCATCTGTTTTCCCAAACAAAAAGCCATACAGAGAAAAGATAGATAGATCGACAGATAGATAGATATGAGCAGAATGAAATAGATAGATACATAGATATATCGAAGCAAATGAATAAAGAAAAGATAGATAGATAGATAGATAGATAGATAGATAGATAGATAGATATGAGCAGAATGAAATAGATAGATACGTAGATATATAGAAGAAAATGAATAAAGAAAATATAGATAGATAGTAGATAGATAGATATGAGCAGGATGAAATAGATACATAGATATATAGAAGTACATGAATAAAGAAAAGATATATATATATATATATATATATATATATAGATAGATAGATAGATAGATAGATAGATAGATATGAGCAGAATTAAATAGATACATAGAGAGAAGTAAATGAAGAAAGAAAAGATAGATAGATATGAGCAGAATGAGACAGATAGCTACATAGATAGATGAAAAGAAGTAACTGAATAAAGAAAAGGGAGAAATATAGATAGATTGATAGAAAGAGAGAGAGAGAGCGAGAGAGGGAATTAATATCAAATTGATAGGCAGTAGACATAATTAACAAGTAGCAAACCATCGCAACAAAGTAAGGATAGACTGAGAGATAGAATGAAAAGACGACGGTAAAGATAAAAGAAAAGAGAAGAAATAAGAAATAAAGACAGACATGTACAAGCAGAAGTACAATTTGATAGAGAGTGAGGTAGACTGATTAACAAATGACTCAATATCCAATATAAAATAAATAACACACACACACAGACACACACACACATTATATATATATATATATATATATATAAGCAAATATATGGATATAGATCCGACAGTATGAAAGAAAAATACAGAAAAAACAAACAAAAATCTGAATATGCAATTATGTAGTATTAATGTTAATATAAAGTCGACGTCGGACGTTTCGGTCTATTTAAGACCATCTTCATGAACATTTTCATTTAAACATAATTAACATTAGAACTTATAACAATTTAACACAAAAGACGATGGACATAAGAGCCCAACTAATTCAGACAGATAATTGAAATTTTATACAGATCAGCGTTCCGTTTAAATATGATCACGTAGTCGTCACGTGGGCGATGTTGTTAAGACGTATTCGAAGATGATTTCCAAATATTAAAATATTAAAAAGTCGATTGAAAAATTTTGTATTAAATTTTAATTTTTTTTTTAAGTGTATATTATCTTTAATTCTTTGGGTGTGTGAGTGATATGTGTATGTATTAGTAGGAATGTGTGTATAAGTGTAAGACCTCAACACCTCTGCAAGCATGACTGTCTTGTGTGGGAGGGAAATGTAATTAGGATTTGATTTATAGAGTTATATGTTAATACTATATATGTTGTTAAATTTGTGTTTAAGCCCGTCTGGACGAAGTGTTTTTAGGCACAAAATCCATTTGTCTTCATGTTCCTCTAGTATTTTTCTAAGATTATCTTTTCTGTCTATTTCTATTTTTTTTTCAATTATAGCTTTAAAAATCATGTTTTTCTAGGCGGAAATGTTGTTCCTCAGGTAATAATCTTTCGTGGGGAACCTGACTTAATCCGATTCCGATAATTATTGATTATGTAGTCAAAGGGTAATTCAGAATTTCCCACATAGTGTGCATTCTAATAGGAAAATTATGTTATGATTTCTACCGTTAGAGTTGTGGTAGATTTTGAAAGTAGTCTTAGCGACTGGGCTAGTGAACGAATTGTTATGTCTAATGTAGTCACAACATAGGCTCTTTCTGTTATTGGGTTGGGAAAATCATGCTGTTTTTATTTTTGGTCTATTACGGGTTACCTTATCATCTGGAATTTTGTTATTACCTAAAATTTCTTTAAGGTTCTTATGTCTATGATATGCTAGAAGGCCGGGTTTCTTAAACAAAGTTTTTAGGTCTGGTTTGATATGTAGTATTTCCCAACGACTTTTAATTATCTGAGATAATGGAGGAATATACATACATACATACATATATATATATATATATATATATATATATATATATATATATATATATATATATGCACTGGGATTTTTTCCGGAATGTTGACCTTCTTAGAGTCAAGGCTTTTGATAAGTTTGTATATTTCTCACGCCATGATAGTTTATCCCCGTCGGGAGGGGGAAAGTTAGGCAAGGTATGGTCTTTATTGTCTACCATAGAATTAGAGGTAATTTTCATTGTAAAAATCTTTGCCTTAACATATGGGCATTTATGGTATTTGGCACAGACTATTTACCAATATTGATATAATTTCTCAATATATATATATATATATATATATATATATATATATATATATATATATATATGTGTGTATAGGGGGATAGATAGATAGATAGATAGATAGATAGATAGATAGATAGATAGATAGATAGATAGATGCGATTTCATAATGGATAAATGAAGAGAAAAAATAAAAAGTAAGAAAAAGAGAAGGAATAAAGAAAGAGATAGACAGACGTATGTAGAAATTGATAAGCAGTCAGGTCGGCAGATTAACAAATGGCAAAACATCCAAGTTAATAAAGAAAAAAAAGGGAGAGCTATAAAGAGGGGAAAATCACACTTCAGTTAGTATATAATTCGAGAGAGAAAAAGTAAACATAATTCTAGTCCCTTTTCTTTGTCCCCGTTTTTTTTTTACCTTTCCTTTCTGTTGGTTGTGACATGAAAAGACAAGTCAAGATTGCTCGCTAATTGAACAACTCGGACTCAACCTTGGGAATTAAATTTAATTAACTTCTGATTTTTATCTAGAGAAAGTTGTTGATAGCAAAATAGAAATTTATTACGTTCTTCCAATCTCTGATGTCTTACCGATAAACATAATACAATGGATAACTCGGGATTTGTCCAGTTTAGAAAAAATCACGGAATACAACAGCAGCTGGGTAAATTATTTAAAAAATAATAAGGAAGATGTATTTCTATTGGATCCGCAGAAATTTAGCTCAATGAATATAAAATAAAATTATCGTAATTTCTATTTTATTAATTCGCCTTCGAGAAATGTACCCTCAAGATGTAGATTGTCAATAGATTTTGAATCTTCCATATATGCAAACTGCAATAATTTTTTTCTCTCGGAAAGATAGTAAAATGCTTTCCCTTAGTTTTTTCCAATATTTAAAATTCACATAAGTCCATCTCCTAGACTGCTTGCCAATCACGGCTAGAGAAATTTTTCTCAGCTGCTTTTTATCCCTTTCTGGAGGAGAGAAGAACAAATTATACATTTCCCAATGATATATACACGAAAGTAAATATAATGGACACGACTAGAATTCGACCTCGGATCGAGAAATTTCAGGATCTAAGCCACTAAATGTTATGCTACTTGCAAATTCGTTTTTAAAAAATTTCGTTAAGAAATTACAATTCGAATTTCAGTCGAGTTTTTCCCATTCGCTTACGCACAAATACTCTTGGGAAGGGCATAAACCCATATCTACTTCCCCTCCCAGATATGGGTTGAATAACAGGGAAGACGATATTTAGTCACCCCCCCCACGAGGGTGTCATGTGGCACAAGGCCTTTTTAACCTGGGCATTCCCGAGCCATTAGGCTCGGCCAAAAAAATAGCCCATTTGAACCCGTATAAACGGGTTCAGGGCCGGTTTTACCTCCCGCCCGTAGGAAGATAGTTGAACCGAACAGTCGCACCAGAAAGTGAGCGAAGCGAGGGCAGACTCGATACTATAGCCTTGGTTGGCAAGCAGTGTACAGCAACAGGAAATGGCAACCGACTGCAGGGAAAAAAAACCTCTGCCTAGTTAGTCATGAATTGAAAGAAACATAATCGCCCCAACCAGTATCACGTATGCCACTTAACTGATATAACACCTGAGGGAGAGATATTCTTAAAGATTCGTGCAAGTATACGTGCATATATGAATTTTTTATTCATTTTTACCCATTCCTATATATATATATATATGAAAAAAGAAAAAAAGAAGAACTTATCTTAGTTGACGTGTTTCATCCTCTGAGGAACTTCATCAAAGCAAATGCTTTGCCTTGATAAAGTCCCTCAGAGGACGAAATCTGTCTGCTAAGATAAGTTCTCATTTTTTTCTTTATTCATACTGTAACTTACGCACATAATCTATCTGAAATGTTTACACACACACACACACACACACACACACACACACACACACACACATATATATATATATATATATATATATATATATATATATATATATATATATATATATATATATATATATATATATATATATATATATATATATATATATATATATATATATATATACGTGTGTATGCGTGTGCAAACATTGTGTGTCAAGTGTCTGTATGCCAGTCATCCGATAGACTGCTGCTGTAATTTCTGCCTCAATTTCTGGAATGTGGTGCTATCATTATTTTTATTATTTTCGTTGAACTAATTTCATCATCTTCAAAATGGAAAACGGAAAGAATACAAATTTCTGTGAAGGTTACCAGATTAGCTGAAGAAGGTTGGGGCACACTATAGCCGAAACATCTTGATGTTAAGTTGAGGATATTATTCTATATATTAAATAAGGCAAACACTGTGAAGTTATTTACAACACGAGTAAGAAATGTACCATAGACTAATCGTTCACGAGGAAATTCGAACGAATTCCATCCGTGTGGGATACCTGACCATAACGACTTGTACAAGTTAAATCTTATTTTAACAAAGAATCAACAACGGGATTTGGTAATTTCACGAGGTTTATTGATTTGGACACAAACATTGAATTCGATTTTCTATTTTGAATTCAATTTTAACTTTGTCTATGAACCGGAAGTGATTTATTGAATAGGCCCATCAACTAAAATACGCATGTAAGTATGAAACAGATTATTTAAGCTCATTATATTAAATTAGTTATTCCTTTTAAAGGCGTAGTTTTCGAAAGTCGACTGCAAAAGCTGGAACCACTGGCCAGGTAACAATATTGGATAACTCCTATCAAATCTTGAATTGTTATTCAAAAGTCTAGAAAAAAAAGTAAGAAAATATACTTTGATTTGTAATTTACTTAAATGATAAAAAGACTTGAAATAAACTTGTAAAATATAGTTTGAAAGCGAAACAAATAACTTATGATAAGCATAACGTAAATTGAGATATAGATCAGATGAAAGATATTTTAAAAAATTCCGGAAAGTTCTGGTTAAAAAGCTGTATATGTGATTCAATGCAGACTTTTGAAAAATAATATAAAATAATTTCTGTATAAACACAAATCCCCATTGGACACCTCGGCCTGGTGTAATGGTTAGCGAGCTTGTCTCGCTAAATCAATTACGACTGAGTAGTGAGTTCCATCCTCACTGGGTTCTTCATACTTCCGGTCTTGTGCCACATTTAAGCAATGTTTAGATAATCACTAAAACAGAAATCCTGATTAAAGATGCAGTAGTCAGGGAAGTTTTATAATTACCAAGATATAAGTTTTTTTTTTTAAGAGAAAATATGTAGTCGAAGGTGTCGAGAAAAAGATTTTTTTTTGCGGTGGCGGTGTGTGTGTTGGGGGGGAGACTCAAAGAAAAACGAAAGAAAGAAAACTCAAATTATTTCCAATGTTCCCAGCGGACGGTATCTGAAATCAATTAAAAGTTATCTTTGTCTTGACACTCACAGAATCGTTGGAATTAGTCAAGTGGATTTGTTTTCTTCTTTCTTTGCTGTTGTTGTTGTTTCTGCTGCTGCTGTTGTTGTTTCTGCTGCTGCTGTTGTTGTTGCTGCTGCTGTTGTTGTTTTCAAATTTTTTGTTTCACCCAACGAAAAAAAAAAAAAAAAAGAATTCACAAAATTAACACGTCGGTTTCGAAACATGAAACGTGAATTTTGTTTACTTCTTTTAAAACTGCCTTCTTTTGTGTGTGTATAAGCGTGTGAGGTTGATTTGTATTTTTGTTTTTTATATCAAAGATCTTAAATATCTGATCGAAAGTTTTTACCAGTTTGATTGCTCACTATCAGATTATTTACAAGAGAACGAGAGAGAGGGAAAAGGAGAGAGAGAGAGAGAAGGAAAAGGAGAGAGAGAGAGGAGAAGAGAGAGAAGAGGAAAGAGAGGAAAAGAGAGAGAGAGAGAAAGAGAGAGGACGAAGGAGTGGGGATCCAGGAGGAGGTTGAAGTAAAAAGTGTGAAAAATTAAAACGAAAAATGAACGGCCATTTTTTTTTTAATTCATCGTTTCCTTTCATGAGAAAGACACATATCTCATTTGTTACCATTTACTCAATATTACAATTTATAATCCTTTGTACCTGCGAATTAATTATTAGTATATAGTAAGAACAGTTAGCGTTTTAGAAAAATTTACTATAAAGTTAATTTCATATATGTATCTAAATTGTAATTTCCTAACAAAATGCTTAAAAACGTATGTGCATGTAGAATAATGTTTAGTGCCTCAGATTCTGAAGTTCCCTGATCAGATTTCGAATTCCATTACGTTATCATAATTAGGAGAGGAGCTGGACCCATAGATAATCTGCGGTTGACAGATTGGCACATGGCATATTTTCTGTATATTTTAAGTGGATAAATTTTAAGCATTCATTAATTATCCCTACTGTCTATCGCGCTATAATAATGTGTCATATAAGTTCTTATGACATGGCTTTGCATTAACCAAGTAGAGCTGTGCATGTGCAAATCAGACACAAACAGCGGCCCAGTTCATGACAGTTGCATTCTCTCGCTGATGAAGTGGTGTAAACCCTATCGTTTTGACAGCTGCTCAAAGCCTTCCACAGTGAAAAACATCTCGTCCAAGGAAATGGACACTTTGTCTGCTGCACGCTTACTCTCTTCCAACAATCTCTTTCCTGTGGAGGCACTTAAGAACAGCTGTCATCGTTAAATCAGGCATGATTTTAGCCACAAATCCCCTTAATCATCCTTAGAGACGATCCGAAATGCTCTTCTCATTTGCCATCCTCTTTCATCATCCTTTTCTGGACGACTTCAGTAACTCTCCTGGTAGGAGAAGAACTCTTTGTGTCTGGATTTGGACTTGGCAAGAGATTTGGGGGGAGCACGGTGGAGTAAAGGATAGCGCCTCGGAGAGCCGAAGTTCGAATTCCAGTCGAAACCATTACATTCCCTTACGTGCTAATACACTTGGGAAAGGTATGAATCCTCTTTTTCTCCCCCTAGTTATAGCAGGCCAGACCAGGTTTTATAGCCATAAATGGCAACGGTCTACCGCCGAAAGAAATGGCAAACTACTGCGGGAAAAAATGCCTCGTCATTCATGTATCAAAAGATACATGATCGCCTAAGCGTCTATCACGAGTGGTAAATAACTGACTGAAGTTATTTTGCTCTTCTTGAAACTTTTTCTACGCATTATTCAATTTTCTGCAAATATTTCACCGAAAAAGTGACTTGACCTAAAGATTTTTGAATTCAATACCTGTCCACAGTAGAGGTAACAAAAACCTGGAGAGTTGAGTTACTAAAGGGAGTTAACTCAAAATACTATATACCTCCAATTGTAGCAACAGTCTACACCCGTGAACTAAATAAAGGACTGGTTTGAAATTCAAAAGTATATCACCTGAAGAAGGTCGGAGCGTACAACGACCAAAACGTCGTGAGTATGGCGATAAAGACGACGACAACAGTCCGATGATGTAAACCTCGAAAATAATTATGACTCATCTCAGAAATATTGACAGGAATATTCATGTCTTTATCTCACCACAGTTTCTTATACAAGCAATTTTTCAATTCATGTTAAATAATCGGTCATATTTTTATGTTTAAATAATAGGTAAATATTAATGTCGCATCCGACACTTACTTTTAAGTGTTGCGTACAAATATAAAATTTTAGGTGTGGATATTGGATTAAATTTAAGTTGTGTATATTATTTGAAACGATAGGGCTTATAAAATAATATACCTTTGATTTTTAAGCCGCTCGTTGTTCTATCGTTATTTGCATAGTAAGTGTTTGGACGAAGTACATTCCTTAGTTCCGATAGTTCTAAATTTTAGAGCTAAGATCTTCCATGCCACATACATTGCAGCGAACCACCTTCATTCCCTTCGTATTCCATTGTTGAAATGTAACATTCACTCGAGCCGCATTTTTTTTTTCACAAACCACTGCTTTGGGGAACCGACTCTCAAGTGGATGTTCCCTGTCTAACTAAAATCTTAACCTGTTCAAGTTTGGGTTAAGCGATATCTTTCCATATATGTCCATAATATATATCTCTTACTTTGCATGTATTTACCCCGAGTGATTCTTGGTCCTTGTACAAGGGGAGATTCATTGAAAAGAATTATGTTTTATGCATTTTATGATGGTTATGCCTTTTATGTATTATGTAATATTTTGTGCCTTTTGTGTATTATACTATGTGTTTTGCTTTTTATGTTTTAAGTTCTATTCGGTTAAAAATACAGAATATTCGCTTATAAGTGAATACTTAATCTCATTATTTCTATGATTTTATGTATCATGCGATGCTTCATGATTTTATGCATTATGTAGTGTTTTATGTTTTGTATTTAGTGTATAGTGTTACGCTTTTTGTATTATTCTATATGTTACGCACATGAAGAAGTGTTTTACTTTTGGTATATTATTATTTTTGTGGATTTAATCAATGCTTTTTACTTATTTTCATCTATTAACCGCTGCATTTTTAGCATTAAGCTTTTTATGACTTAGTTTGGTTTAGTGTGTTTTAAGGCATGTCATTCTCAATGGGTTAGTTAATGCTGACAGGATTTTTAGTTCTGGTAATATTTTTTCCAAAAATGTATTGCTGGTGAGATTTTTTTTCCTTCAAAAATGTATTTCTAGTAATAAAGTATTTCTACTAATAATGTATTTCTGGTAATAATGTATTTCTGATAATAATGTATTTCTGGTAATAATTTTTTTTTTCTTTAAGAAATTTACTGCTGGTATTAAAAGCTATTTTTACAGTTTCAGTGTTTTAACTCCAATTTGGGGTTTAACTCTTTGCCCATAGTTGGGACCCTAACAGGTGCTACCATCCGGGGTCAGGGTGGACCTGGGAACACCAGTGATTAAGAGTTGGTTCCACGCTCCTGAAAACCCCCTGATCAGTGACCTTGCTGTTGGACGTAGTTTATCGTCTTACCCAGGAAGCGGATGTCGTTTATCGTCTTACCCAAGACGCGGATGCAGTTTATCATCATACCCAGGACACGGATGCAGATTATCGTCTTACGCAGGAAGCGGATGTCATTTATCGTCTTACCCAAGACGCGGATGCAGTTTATCGTCATACCCAGGACACGGATGCAGTTTATCGTCTTACGCAGGACAAGGATGCAGTTTATCGTCTTACCCAAGACACGGATGCAGTTTATTATCATACCCAGGACACGGATGCAGTTTATCGTCTTACGCAGGACACGGATTCAGTTTACCGTCTTACGCAGGATACGGATGCATTTTATCGTCTTACGCAGGAGAGGGATGCGGTTTACCGTATTACTCAGAACGCAGATGTAGTTTGTCGTCATACGCAGGACACCGGATATATTTTATCGCGTTACCCAGAACACGGATGCAGTTTGTCGTCATACGCAGGTCGGTGCCTTTTATGTACTTATGTTTTATAATGCGTCATATTTTATATGTTACAGGTTATAAAACTATGTGAGAATTAATTTCCACTCAAACAGCTTCTTCCCGCGGACAACTGCTTTGTGGAACCGACTGCTAAGAGGGTTTTTCCCCAATCTTTGTCAATCCTACTTTAGGATTAAATGTTATCTTCCCCTCCTATCCGCATAATCTATTTCTTAATGTAACCCTCTACCTCGAATGCGCCGTGGGACTTGTATCGGATGAAACTCACTGTAAAAAGAAAATGTGTTATGCTTTATTTTTTATATGATTAAGTCTGAAGATTTAATACATATTGCGTTACGTGATGTTTTATGCTTCAAGCTGTTTCTTGTTTTATGTGTCAATCTTCTGCAGAAGGCAGTGTAGAAACATGCACTAATATATTCTCATAATAATTAGTGTTTTTATTCGCACTAGGGTCCCATCCTCGTTATTTGAACTTAATTTTGCTGTTCATTTTAATTACAAGTAATCAAATAATTATTTCTGACATAATTATTTTTGGTAAATGAAAAACAATTGAATTAAAATCCTTTTAGATTACTTCAAAAACGTTTGATATTTTGCGTCATTTTTTGCCGACAGAATCGAGCGTCTTCTCTTTCTCATTAGTGCAATTAAATTGAATAGCAAAACAATTACTTACTGCCTCCGCCTTTATAATTGAATTTTATGTCGATTGCTTATTTAATTTCATCATTGAGATATAACTTCCTATGTGATGTAATTATGATAGACTAGATTGTCCAAGTGTATATGTAGTCTCTTTTCGCAGGCATGTCAATGATAATAAACTTTTGAAATATATCTGGTTCGGAGATAGAATGAAAGAAACCATTGTGTATTTGGGACGTTTTTATCCGAACAATGCATACCTATATCATACTAGAAAGTAACTGAAATCGAGATGTTAGGTCTACGATCGTTGAAACTACAGTCCGTTCTATGGATTTTATCATGAATTTTATCATCAATAGCAGGAAATAAATTTCGGTACACTCAGGTTGCTAGATTTATAAAAGTGCACGATAGATTGTGGTTAGAAATATTACCTGCCATAGTGAGCCAACTTTCGTAGCAGCCATGATAACTGAGTCTAGAACAGTCTACCCCAGCGATCGAAATAAAGGGTTCAGTTCGAAATTCCAACCACCTGAAGAAGGCCGGAGCGTACAACGGCCGAAACGTTGTGACAAATATGGCGACAAAGATGAGGACAATAGTCCGACTAATGTAAATACTGTGCTTAACTCTGTTCAAGTCAAATACCGGTGCGCAGAGGTGGATTAAATGTGACGCAATCGCAGTATCATTACTTACTCAATTCCGGCGTTGCTGGTTTGAATGACACATATGTTCTTAGTACATACGAAATACGAAGATTTATTGATTATTAAATGTTTTAAAGTGAATGTTTTGCATAAAACTTATTGGGAAAAAAACTCACAGAAATTTAAGTTTCAATCTCGAGGGTCAACAAGATGAAAATAACTCCGCATTCAGGATTGTGACCAAAATAGATTTGGAAAAGCTAGCATAGAAAATAACTTCAGTAATTATAAATGGAATATCGACGACGTGTATAGCTATGGTTAGATTAGCTTTATTAACTTTGTAGAGACAAATTATAAATACGTCAAGGAACATTTTACGGAGGACGGTAGGATACATTTGAAAAGCTCGGCAGAATACTGCGAGACAGAATGATCTCTTTGGTGACAAAGAAAAGAGTACTGAGCTGCTACGTGACATATGTCCATCTTTACGGCAGCGAATGTTGGACGGTCTCCAGAAAGATGGATACTCGAGACAGCAGAGATAAGATTCTACAGAAGGATACTAAGGATATCATGGAGTTAGCGTGTGAGCAACAATGTGGTCTTGGAAAGGTTGCAAACAAGACGGAAGCTTATACTTAACATAAAGAAGAGGCAGATGAAATCTCTGGGACAAGTAATGAGAAAAGAAAGCCTGGTGAGTCTGATATTCACCGGTCGAATAGAGGGAAACAGAAACAAGGGAAAGCATGACATATCTGGCGGACTTAATAAGTCTTTTTTCATCATGCATGAAGGGAAAGGTTTAGTAACGAAACCCCGTAGAATTAAGTAAATATATTAGAGAGAAAGAGAGAGAACATTGATTGCTGTGTTAGACATCTGAGACAATCAGAGCATATTCTAATCTATGAAAACCTATTGATAGACCTGTCGTAAATACGGCGTGGGAGCCGTTACTAAAAGAGAATGATCGCAAGAATCAACAGTAACAGTATAAAATGAGAAGCCTCGGTGAATGAAGTCAAGCCTGATCAGTTGCAGGTAGATTAAGATTAAGGATTCAGGTTCTATATGCATAATTTCCCCCGTGGTTCATGGATTTGACGACAAAATAATTGCGTGTTCAATCCATACTCCGAGCACTGAATACTTTCATTTAGTGAAAAATCGACTAGCAATAATTGAGCAGTACTTATTCACTAGACGAGATACCCGTCGACAAGATCAGCGAAACGAGAACAGTCTATCTACTTGTAAATTAAATAAAGGGTTCAATTCGAAATTCTGCGAAGCTTCTTCGGGCCGACAGCCATCTGAGTAAGCAACCGGAACGTTGCGATAATAAGAAAAAAAGCAAATAGGTTGAATAATATAAATAGTTTGTTAATAGCCATGATGAGAGTGAGAAAACGGCGAGGTTTGGAAGGGAATGGAAACAAAGAGGAAACTTATACTTAACACCAGGAAGAGGCAGTTGAAATTTCTGGAGCTTGGAAAATTTGATACACACATAAGGATAGAGGGAATGAGGGGGAAGGGAAATGAAACACCTGAATATTTAATGGGCTTCAGCAAATAGATGGCAGAACAGGATCTGGAAGAAATAACAAAAAGACAAAATATTAATAGCTAAAAGGGAGCGGAGGAAATGGAGAGCAATGTTCGCCTACGTCCTGAAGGGACATGACACATAAAAGAAAAGAATATAAATAGCTACATATAATATATTAAGTAAACTGATATCTGATATCTGGATACATCACTATAAATAAAAGGTTAATAAAATTAAGTAGAGTAAATTTGAACATTCGGTAGCGACAAACGGTTTGGAAATAGATTGAAGAATTGGGAAATTGTTTAGCTATGTATTTTTATAATGTTCTTTTTTTTTCAGGAATGTCGTCATTGCGATAAATAAAATTCATAATGGGGACCAGGTACGCAATGCTGCCGACACTGTCAATAGACAAGACGATATGAATGACAAAATTGTTAATGAGAGGAACAGAAACCAGAAACTATTCATTATTTGACATGTATACAAGGCAGCCAAAAAAAGAATTCTCTTGTAGCAAGAAGCATTCTTAGAATCCGTTAAAAGATCAACACAGCGTTGATATGACGATACTATTTAAGAACATGAGGATTTTAAGTTTATTTTTTACGTTTTGTAGCGACTTGCGATTTTGGACGGAGCCCAACCCTCTCCAGGTCGGTTGTGAATTCTGAGTTACATTCTCCCAGACCGGTTGCCACCCAAGGCTATAGAACTCATTTTGTCTTGCTATCTAGTGGGGTGAAGAAGAGGCCTCCTACCTTCCCCAAGAGTATTAGCACATAAGTGAATGTAATTGATCCGACTGGAATTCGAACTCTGCTCTCGTATTTCTCAATCCGATTCGCTATCCATTACTCCACCGTTCCTCCTACAGCACATTTGTTATAATTGATCTGTCACCGAAGAAACTGAAGTATTTTTTTTCTGCTAATTTAACAATTAAAAGTTATTATGGTGTCTTTGTGGTAGGTGCCATCACTGATTTCATTCTAATTCCATATCAAATTTTCTGATTTGTAACGGTTTATCCTAAATCCTCTATCTTCAAAACGGTTGTAAAAAAAAATCAGTAAAAAAACATAAAACAAAAAACGTCGCGAATGAGGACATACAAATAAGCGCCCTCGTTTCTAAAGCTACTTGAATGGATATTGCCTTAAAAGTAAAAATGATCAATGACTCAGTGAGTTCAAGAAGCGGACATTTCGCTTACGTCGGAATCCTATATTTTAAAAGCACCTAAGTAAAAAGTAAAATTGGTTCTAAAGATTGTTCCAATAACTTGAACCGATTTTACTTGCAAATTAAATCTCATGATTTTTTCTTTTTCTTTCAGATTTTGTCTTTGGTAATTTCAACCATGGAAAGATTAACAATCAAATTACGTGTTAAAGTTATCGAAACCTATTACAAAATGGACGTTCAAACTGAAATGCAATGAGAAGTTCCCAGGTCGCATCATCTCTCGAAAGAGCGAAATCATTTGGCCACCACGATCGTGCAACTTGACGCGATTAGTTTTCTTCCTTTGGGGGCCATCTCAAAAGTAAGGTTTATGCCAACAAGCCAGCAACAATTCAACCGCTGAAGGTATGAGATAGTAAGACATATTGGTGAGATCGAGTAGCAACTATGAAGAGACGACATCAAAAGTTTTGTCCATCGAGTGGAAGTGTGCCGCCGAAGACTTGGGAGAGACTATTTTTCACCCATAGTTGCCATCACTTAAATAACATGATCCAAAAGAGAAATAAATTTTCACCAATAACATTGATTTATTTACTGCTGACTTTGACCCGTCTTAATCAAACGCCTTTATACAATATATTTCACTGGAGAGAGGGTTCAAAATGTATATATTTCGCTTACCTGAATATCCGAGATTTTACAAACATCCAAGTAAAAATAACAATTACTTTTATAAAATGGCATCTATACATTATAGATGGGAACAGCAGCTGTTTCATTTTGAAACTAACATTTATATTCCGTTCTTTGTTGTACCTAACCTCTCATCGATGTGTTTCGTATTGGATGTAAATTAGTGATCATTTAAACTTTTGTGCTTGCACCTGCTTAAAGATTATTTGTCATCTCTTCGTAAAGGCTGTGACTTCTACAAGTTTAAAGATGCAACAATTACTTCTTGAATACCTTAATCTAAAGTCTTTTATATGCCGTGTGTCTTTTGTAATTCTAAGTAACACTTGCCCATTACCTATTTCTTCCAGTAGATGTTTTGTCATCGATTTATATTGGCTATTTAGGAAAGTACTCTTTGTTTCTATCGCCCCGTCTTCCCGCCATTACGTGTTATTGCCCCGTTTGCGCCCTAGACTTGTTTTACTAGCATTATGTACATTATTCGGACAGTTATCCGTATCTTTATTGCACTATTCACAACGTTTCGGCCATTGTACGTTCCGGTCTTCTTCAGGTGATTGGAATTTCTAACGGGACCCTTTATTTCGTCCACGGGGGTAGATTTTTCTAGTTCCACGTGTCATGCGTCTTCCGTTATTTACTTTTAACTCAGCACTCTAAGTTTTGGTCCACCTCTCCTGTGGCCTGGTATTGAACTCACAACTCTTTGGGTCTAGTCATTGAATCTAACCAACGTCTTTAGTTCAGTGAATACGGAAATGAAGATAAGAAAAACGGTCTGAATAAGGTAAATAATGCAAATAATCATAATACCTCATTTCAGGGATATAGATAGATAGAGTTATTTTCTCTATATTTTTCTAAGTAAAAGTGTTGTTAATATTTAAATTTAGCTTGTAACTTCCCCCTGTTTCATATCTCTCCATGGTATATGTAACTAACAAATTTTCTAAGAAGTGCAGATGCTGTGGAAGAGGTCGAAAGCTTCAAATATCTTGGCGCCAATTTTACAGCCACTGGTCAAGCGAAGGACGAAATCACCACCCGTATAAATTTGGCTAGAGCTGCCTTTGTCCGTCTACAAAAACGACTTTGGTCTCGCCAGGAAATAAGACGATCCACGAAGTTGCGAATCTACGAAGCCACGGTCAGAGCAATTCTTCTCTATGGTTGTGAAACCTGGCCGCTGCGCAGAGAGGATCTTCATAAGCTTGAGGTCTTCGATCACTACTGCCTCCGCCGTATCCTGCGCGTGCGCCTCTCCGACCGGATCCCAAACTCGTCCATCCGCGCCAGATGCAACATTCTGGGCCTGGAAGAAACTCTGCATAACAGGAGACTCCGGTGGTTCGGCCACGTGTTGCGGTGGCCTGGTGATGTGTTCGTCCGTAAACTGGTGGCGCCAAACGCACCCACTGGTTGGAGGAAGCGCCGAGGTGGTCAACTCAAGACGTGGCTCCCAACGGTCAAAGCAGATATGGAACTCATGTCCGGTCCTCACGTTTTCGAGGTCCGATGCTAGAATCGACGGGGGTGGATGGCCTTGACGCGCGATGTGGTTAATTCAATTGGAGCCGGCTCAACCCACCCCGGGTGAATGCCGTTACAAGACAAGAAAGAAGATAGTCAGCCACTGACTTAAACAAACTCGTTACATGAGTCAGTCCTTGTTTCTCTCTGTCCATATTGCTCAATATACCTTTTTAATGTTACATTCCCTAAACCTTTTTTCTTCATTGTTCGTCCCAAATATTTCAATTGTCTCTCTCTGATTCTAAGTAAGAGTCTTCTTTCTTTTTATATTTTTCTTAAAACTTCCTCGTTACTCATATGTTCGGTCTATGCTATTCTCTAGTCTTCTAGCGAGCCACGTCTTTGTCCCTACAAGTCTTCTGTTCATCTGAGAGGAAATTTTGCAGTATTTACAGCCATATGAGTAGATAGATATTATATAGCAGTTCGTCGCTCTTTTCTTTCGCTGTTTATTTCCGTACCACATTTCCCGTTAGCTGTTACAACAACAATTCAATAATTACTACAATTAAACTCTGTCTATTGTATTGGATAGCAGCTCAGACTGAGGAATCGGAGAGCGGAGTTCGAATTCCAGTCAAATCCATTACATTCACTTACGTCCTAATACCCATGGGAAAGGTATGAATTTCTTTTCCCCGCAGCTATGGGTAAATAGCAGGACAGACCGGATTCTATAGCCTTGGATGGCAACTGGTCTACCGTAAAAAAGAAATAGCAACCTACTGCGGGAAAAAATCTGCCTCGTTAGTCATGTATCGAAAGATACATGATCGTCTAAGTATGTATCACGCATAACTGACTGACTATATTTCCGAGATGAGGTATTGTAACTATTTATACTATTTAGATCATTTGGACTTTTATCCTCATCTTTATTGTCATATTCACGATATTTCGGCCATTGTATACTCCGACCTTCTTCAGGTGATATACGTTGGAGAAGGCCGGAACGTAAAACGTGAATATGGCAATAAAGATGAGGATAACAGTTGGCACGATGTAAATAGCGCAAAGATTTAAACTCTTGTATATTTTTCCTCAGATGTCTTCAGTATGAAGCTCACTATTTTGATTGTTTTTGCTATTGACGATGATAGAATTTTTTTTTTTGTTTTTAATTGCCTTTTTTTTCTTTAGTTTACAACTTGGTCTAAGAAAGTTTGCAGTTACCTTTCTGAATCTGTCATCATTACAGTGTGATTTGAGTATCTTTGGTTAAGATTGCGTCCTCAAGCTAATAACTCTGTTAGGTCACCTAGTTCTTTTTCGATCATTTCACTGTTCTCATTGAACAGATCCGGCGAGAAGATGCATCTCTGTCTTACAACTCTTTTGTAGACTTAATCAAGTCGTTTCCTATCCGTAGGCAGACGGTTTGTTCAAATAAATATTTCAAAACTTAATCACGTTTTACTAACACTTCAAATTCATCTTTAAGTTGTAATTTTTACCGATTTCATTTATATTTCTTCCTTTCTGTTTTTTTCATTGATTTCTTTCTTTCTTTCTTTTTTCTTTCTTTCTTTTCACTGACTTTCTTTCTTTCGTTCTTTCTTTTTTCTCACTGACTGTCTTTCTTTCTTTCTTTTTTCTCCTCACTGGCTGTCGCTCTTTCTTTCTTTCTTTCTTTCTTTCTTTCTTTCTTTCTTTCTTGTCTCACACACACACACAGTCACACACACACGCATATGCATATATATATATATATATATATATATATATATATGAAGAAATATAGTCTTAAGGTGTACTATATTTATGGGATGAAGTGCTCAATATCAGAGATAGAGCGTGTGTAAATATAAAAGTGAACATAAAGTCAACACTTAGAGCGACCGTCTGTTTCATGCTAGACGCAATCGTCAGGCCTGACAATTGCATCTAGCATGAAACAGACTGTCGCCTCTAAGTGTTGATCTATGTTCACTTTTATATATATATATATATATATATATATATATATATATATATATATATATATATATATATATATATATATATATATATATATATATATATATATATATATATATATAAAATGGATTAAATTAAAGTTACTGTGGTTGAAACGTTAAATAACACGTCAGACTATATGACGTTTTCCGTATCGGATACAGGTTCGATTCCTGTCGGAGAACACATATTTTCTATGAAATCTCCCGAATTTACTCAAATAAGCCGTATCCATAAAAATAACGTATAAGCAGAAAATATATGAATACAATTAATAATCTATTTACATATTATTAATAATCTCTGTGCATAATGTAAAACAAAGTTAGCGTAGTCATAGATATTCTTTACATGAAAATCTTTCTAAGTAAAAGTCTACATTTGATTTACCCTAATGAAACTGGTTGATTTTTCATTATTCCAATATTCTTTGCGATCTAGACAGAGTGATTTTTTTTTTTTTTACTCGGGATGCAAAAAAAAAAAAAGAAAATCTCCTTTTATTTCTGTTGTTTTTTTTTACCGCAGATTTCATGTAATTAATCTTTGAACAGAGAATTTCTTAACACGTATCTTCCGGCACCTTAAAAATTAGGCTACGGAATATCAAAAACAGATGTAATTAAATTTTAGTTATATTCCTGTAATGTTCTGCTATAGTGTGTGTTAGTAGTAGTAATAGCAGTTTAGTTGTTTTAACGAGTTGAATTCCAACCCGATATCATTATTGTGTCGTGTGGGAACATTACTTTTATTTATATCATTTATTTAAAACAATGTGTTAGAAAAGATTTTAGTGTTAATACTCTTTTAGAAAATGAGTGACAAAATAAGTTTTCCTAACCTGAGAAGCCATGACACAAACTCGTGGTGATGAGTATTTTCTTGTGTGCATAATATACTTTTGCAGATTTTATCAAATGATTTTATATATATATATATATATATATATATATATATATATATATATATATATATATATATATATGACGTCACGAGTTGCGGTGCGATTTTCGTTTCCGCGTCTCGTATAAAATCTTTCATGCAACAAAAACAGAGTATCATTATTGTTTTGTCCATGTATTGTTTAATATATTGAAATGTAATTTGTCATCTTTCATAATGGCTTATGTAAGCCGAACGCTTAGATAGGATTAAAAAAAAACATGTATGAATATGGTGTTTTTCTTTCATCTTTCATATATAATGTTATTAAGCTTATTAGACAATATGAAAGGAATTTACATAAAATGAATAGACAAAACTTGTCTATATTATTTAATGAAACATGTATCAATATATATATATATATATATATATATATATATAGAATACGTTATTTTCTAAGTATTATATATATATATATAATACGTTATTTTCTAAGTATTACATATATATATAATACGTTATTTTCTAAGTATTATTGTTCTCCACACACCCCTACACACACACACCCACTCCACACACACACACACACACACACACACACACACACATATATATATATATATATATATATATATATATATATATATATATATGTGAAGAAATATACACTTAAGGTGTGCTATATTTATGGGATAAAATGCTCAATATCAGAGATAGATTGTGTGTAAATATAAAAGTGAACATTGAAATCAACACTTAGAGGCGACAGGATTTTTCATGCTAGACGTAATCGTCAGGCCATCTTTGTAAAAAGACAGGTCCACCATGACAGGTCTGCTGGCCTGAATATTGCGTCTAACATGAAACATATCTTTATATATATATATATATATATATATATATATAAAAGTTAACATATATATATATATATATATATATAATACGTTATTTTCTAAGTATTACATGGTTCATAAGAAATAAGGAAACATTATTGCGTCCTAAAAAGGCGATTTGCATTAATTTATAATTTAGGCATATGTTGCTGACAAATCGAAATCTGTAAATATTACGAATATGGTAGTTTAATAAATAAATGTTTTCTTTTTCAGCAATCCAGCCTGGTGTAATGGTTAATACTTGTCTCGCTAGATAAATTAGGACTGAATACCGACTTCGCTCCTCACCGTGTGCTCGCACTTTCGGCCTTGTGCTAATTCTAAACAATGCTTAGAAAATCACTAATAAATATGTTTCGGTCCGTTTTTTAATACCTACTTTATATTTATAAACCATTGAAGTAAAATTTAGATCAAGCTGGGTGCTATATGCATTTTTTTAAAAATCGTTTCACCCATATTCGGGAGTAAGTCACAAGAGGCTACTGAGACTGAAAGAATAAGAAAAAAAAACTACAAACATTATAAAAAGAGAGAGAATAATAAAAGAAGAGGAACCAAGAAGATAGAAGATAACAATTGACATTGTATTTAAATTTTCGAAGATCAATGTTCGCTGAAAGGCATGGAGTCGAAAATATGTGAAATATGCGAAAGAAGAAACTTTCAGTTTGAACTTAGGTTTGCGTCTAAGCCAATTCGACTCGAGGTCATTGAGACCTAGCAGCTTACATTGCACTGCGGTTAAATTCATCAGATTGAAGTATCATAGCAGAAAATACATCACAAAAGTTAACATGAAAATATTTATAGAAAAGGCACGAGGAAGCTACATTACAGCAGCGGGAAAAAACTGAAGCCGAGATGCCAGGTCTAGATCAATAATATTGCGGATTCTTCTTTGGATATTATCAAGATTCTCTAAATATATAGCAGCAGCACTAGACTATATGTGGTAGCAAGGTTCAAAGCATGGATAAATAGCATTTTCGCAAAATTTCACAAGAAGCCACATATATAGAAATATGCATAGAACTTCTTCAATATTTGGCAAAGCAACATGAAATATAACCGTCACCAGTATCTGGTGACACTGCTTAAACTGAAATGCCGTGTCACCAATTTTTGGTGACAAGGAAGACAACGCGTCGAGTTACCCAACATTCTTAGATGAAGCATTCTCCTTATAGATTTTTCAAAATTATTTTTATATTTTTCAATTTATTGGGACGTTATT